GCGATTGCCTCCACCCTAAAAGCATCCAGGAGGTTGAGGGCCTTCTTATTCTGAGGGGTGCAATCAGGAGTCCTCAAAGGGAAGAGTTCGGGGCGTCTTGCTCCTTCTATCATTGCTATCTACATGACAACAGGATTGCGGGTTGGCCCCGATCGGTTTTGCAAGGTTCTGATCACTTCGAAAATACTTAAGGCATGTACTGCAGAAGATTACGGAAGTCTAGTCGGATGCTCATATCTGCGTGATGCTCTTCGGCCCCCTCACCTGTTGCAGGTAGCAGAACCTCAAAGGTATCCCTTAGGCCCTCCAGAGCTGTGTGGCTCTGTATGCGTTGCTTAACACCAACAAGTCTGAACCATCCCACGCCATGGCTTCCCAGTGGATCGATCCGTGCGGGTGACGCCTCCTTCTGGGAGAGTTTCACACAAAGGGTCGCCAAGCAGTCCTCGTTTCGGGCAGTCCGTTGGACTCGCAGGGAGCCCTTCGGAGTGGACCCGGTGGTTTGGAAGGACCGGTTTGGGCTGGTCGATGTCACACTATGACCAAACTGCGCGGTCTAGGGAGTTCGGACCAACTGCTAGAACAGCTTCATCCACTAAACAGGAGTCCAAGTAAAAAGAGGTGGCTCACCGAAACTCACCGACCCATTTACAAAGAGGTAAGAAGATCACATTGTTCGATGAGAAGCTGAGGAGACCGCCTGAACGTGAATTCTGCCTGATTGATATTGATTGGTCGCTCTCAGTGATGCTTGGAGGCGCCAAACAGAACGACGGCCCAGCGAAGCCACACGACCCATTGATGGTCCTTCCCTCTCGTGGGCAGCTTCGAAAAGTGCGGCTTGCAATCGGCACCTTCTGCGAACTCCACACTCCTGCAAGATGAAAAGAAGGCGCCCGGTTTCTCTTGAGCCATCTGTGAATGGAAGGGGTCAGCATGGTGAAGACTACAGCATCCACCATTTAGCAAGGGTCTAGTGAGATGACAACACTCTAGTAAACAATGGGAGATCGTCCACTTGGCGGGTATCAATAGTAGGGTTGATGCAAGAAAACTAATAAACACGTGCTGGGATACTACAGTAGAAACATTGAACTATGTTTGAATATCTATAAAATTCTATAAATAGCTTCCGGATTCCTGCAAAAGGAGGCCTTTCCATCACAGGGAATCACGGGATCTGGTGGTGCAGGACTGCTTGTCAACCAGTGTCGTGTACCGGCCTCAACAAAACGAGAAGATAAGGGACAAGTTGACAAGTTGTCAACCCCTCCCACTCCAAATCATGCTCCACGAAAGTGGATGACCAAGCATAGGGTAATGTGGCTCGGAGTGTATGACTCCGGTGAAAACGATCGCAGGGGCCCCTGGCTTTTCGGCGATGGCACGGCCGCGCTGGACCCCGCGCTGGAACGCCGCGCCTGACCACCCGTGGGATGTGCGAATAGAGGCCGCGCAGCAGGGCCGCTGCGATGCCTGGGCGAGATCGGTATTGACGATGGAAAGCCACGGGGCCCAGTGGCACAAGCATGACCTTTTCAAACGATTTCAGTACGGTCCAGGATTCTCTGTCGCTATCCTGCCGTCCCACTAAAGACAGAGGCGGAGGGCCTCCTTACAAGAGTTCAAGGCAGCCGCAATGGCTCAAATGTGAACTGAAATCGGTTCCGAACAGTGCTCACACCACTGACCCGCACATGGGCTGTGGGGGTCCTCCATTCCAAAAATACACCAACAAGTCAAGCCCTGGGGTGGGTGGACCACAAGATCGGTGCTTTTTCATCGTCCACCGGGTCAACCGGTGCACCCTGCTTTGGTGAAGGTGAGGGGAGGAACTCTCGCCCTCCACACCTCTGTTGAGTTAGAGGAACTCAGGAACCATAGGTGTTTATGGGTAACTACGGATCGACTATGGATGAGAAGCGCAAAGGAGCGACTTAGTTGAGGGCGCCCAAGCACCCAAGCTTCGCTCAAGCAACCTGTTGTATTTCCTATTACTGGGGTACACTGCGCTACACGACCTTCATCGTCGAGACCTGCTGAATCTTTAAACCATCAAAGGAGCTAGTAAGTTGTGCTAGTTAAGTCTATTTCTGGTTTCTCGACTGTTTTCGACCAACCTGCTCCCTCTTTGAGAAAGTACCTTGCATGCAAATCCTGGCAAGTTCCCCACAGCCATGCTGGAGATCTTCTGGGCAAGAAGTCAAGCTCGGTTTCCCAAATGGAATTCTCGACCTTCCTCTCAATCAAACACATGCCCAAAACGAATTGTCGTACAATGAAATTGTCCCAAGATCGATGGTCATCTTGGTTCATCATCGGAATGAATGTTGTGTTTCAGATGTTAAACGGATACCAACAAAGACTCAACATCCACCATCTAATACAAACACCACATGGGGATCGCCCGAGCCGCTGAAAGCATGGTTCCACGCTTCACCCCCTTTCAGAGTGGACCTTGGCACCGGTTTCGCGCCGTTTCCCACCGTTTCAGTGACAGGACACGGGCACGGGACCCCCGGGTTTCAGCTTGTTTTAATTGTGGAAAGACCAAAAGAATCTGGAGAATCTTCTGATCAACCGCACCAAGGAAAAAGTCAAAACCATGGAAGATATGAGACACTAGAGTCACTAGAGTCACTAGTCTGGACTACTTCTGGGGTCTCCCCATGAACAACTTTGTTTTGTACAAGAATAGAACACATGTTGAAGCTGTCACAAAAAGTCATAACGGCATATTACTTGGAATGTTTAACTTGGTTTGTCGATTGGAGAATCCTGTCACTGCAATTCGGGCATTGTCTGCCAAGACCTTCTCAGTGCAATCTTCATGTTCGAGCCCACAACCAGCTGAATTTGAAACGTGTTGAAAAAAAAGACTCAACCAATCTCAACAATATGTGTCCAACCTGGACCAAAGGAACGACTCTCACCCAAGTTTGTGCAGCTCGTGTGGTTACAGCACTAGTTCCTAAGCTTGTTGACTTTCGTCTCTCATGTTTTGCCCAGATCTGGAACCAACTCAGAAGCTTCAACAATTTTGTCAATGCAAGACTGCAAGAACACAATATGGCAAAACAGACGGTGTGCCTTCCTTTTTGTAATACATCAACAAGAGTGAGTAGGCTAAACCCCCAAGGATCAAAGCTGTATCTGTACCCACTCGCAAATGACGTGGGACCCCACTGCTTGAGCCATCTTTGCTGCTGAAAAATCACTGCCTCGGCCATCTACCCGGTTGCTTCCGTGGGTCGGACCGTGGGACGGTCACACACCAAGGGACTGCGCCGAGGTGGCACCGACCTCATTGAAGCGAGCCAAAGCCGCTTCCAGGTGCTGTTTGGTCACCGAGTGGAAGCCTCCCTCGCAGCTCCTGGAGTGGAGCTGTGGACGCGCGTCGGCCGCTTTGGGCAGTGGGCTTTTTTACGTGGCGCCACCGTGCTTTGGGGTGTGGGATGGTAAGTGGGATGGCCAGCTCTTTGTGAGTTAGGTTGCCAGAGGCAATCTGAAGAGATAGGATGATATAGATATAGTTTATAACAGTAAAATGATCCAGCGGCTCGTGGTGGAGCATGAGATTGGGCTCAAACTGCACACCAAATCGGCTACTCCGATACTCCGACAACCGAAAACCCTCCAAATTTTATTAAATGGGCTAAACTGCTCATGGGAGAAAGGGCAAACTCCCTCAATGGATCTCAGTCCCAATCCCAAAATCTCATGCGCCTGACATCTTGCACAAAGCTGGAGCCACAATGGAAATACGGAGCACACTGGCCCATGGCGCGTGCCGGCCGCACTCGGGCGAGCCAGAGCGGATGGTCTCGCGGCGAAAAGGAGCACGAATTCCACCGGGGGGGGTGTTGAGGTGATAGTGGGCCACTCCCACTACAAAGACTGCAATCAGTGCTTGATCGCTGCTAGGAACCATTGAAAGCAGCCTCACCTACGTCTTGGGCTCTTTCAGGGATACCAACAAAACGGGTGCCCAAAAGCATGTGCTTCCAAAAAGCACCTGCTCCCAAGGACTGGACTGGGATCTTGATGTTAAAAAGAACACCCGTAGCACAAGCACACGACGGGACCCTGACTCTTGTAGACCTCCCAAGTGCCCGTAGGAACCAACAAAACCCATGACCTCTCGAGGTGCTAGCAACCGTGGTTGCTCAACTGGAAGCCTTGGCCCTGTTCGTTTAAACAACTGTTGTTGGTAGCGGATGCGGAGGTCTTTCCCAGGTAGTTTGCGGGTACTCGAACATGGTGTTGCTTAACTTCCAAGGTTGGCTTGATAAAACAAGACAACCCGTGACAACCCGGTGTTTATGTCCAATCCAGAAACCCGCTCCTGCCATCCAAATGTGCCATGGTCAAGACCCTTTCTATGGGGATAGTCATCCTTCCGTTGCCAAGGGTCCCTATTGTATTTCTAGTCCCTACCGTAATTACCCTCCAACCCGATGCAAGCCAGTGTTTGGACCATGGCACACATGAGTTTCATAATGAGGAGACACCCCCCCAAAACATGTTGGCCGAATCCAATGTGGGCCAACACCACTTGCGGAAGCTTCTCTAAGGCAAAGCAGCAAAGCTACGTTTCAATCCACCTGGGTCTCCAGCAATGCAAGCACACGGTCTCTTCAACTTCAAGAGCAACTCTGCACGCTTGGCAAACCTCAGGAAGAAACAGCGCCCGAGGGGCGTGGCGTCAACCCAGCTACGGAGCTACGGAAACCATGGGCACCGCAAACCCAGGTTAGACCGAAAACGAATATCGCAATTGGTTCCTAGTTGGAAGCTCAAAGAGGGTGTACTAGGCTCTGCCTCTATAGAAGAAGCCCAAAGACGTGTGGCCTGGCCATGTGGCACAAAGAGGCACTCTCTTCTTTCCGTCAGCTGGTCATAGCCGCAAACGGGAAGTTCTTCTTCCTGACACGAATTAGAACTCATCACCATAGCCTTCTTCTTCGCCTTCACCTGTCGACATGGGGGAGTGCGATCGCTCAGCATTCTGATGACAGTGAAAACCGGTCACTCTTATGGCCACAATACAAAGCAAAGCACATGCATCTCTGAGGTTGTATGGCTGTTAAATACGCACTATGATTCCTAATATTTAGCTTTATATAAAGGGGCATCCATCTTGGGGCCTGGCAAGACTCAAATATCACAGGGGATCGAAAAAGGCCATTTCGACAGCGGAAATCGACCGTGCACAGAGTCGACTTCCAAAAACAGGCGAAGAATTCGGCATCGTCATCTGTGTGCCCAGTCTGTGCGCATCGTCCTCCGTGGCGTTGACGCCACGTACTTCGGTACTTCGGTCGAGACTGAATGCAAATCCCAGTGGCCCTCAGCTGTTTCAATGCCGACCTCCTCGTAGTCTTTCCTCAGTGAGAAAGACCAAGAGGACAAAACCAAGAGGTTAGAACAACGGTTTTGATCTGCAGCTACTTTCTCAAATGCATGAGGGACATCTTAGATCTCTTCTGTCTCTTCCGAGCTTCTCCAAAGCGGCCAAGTCCTCACGAGCTTCAGAAAACTCGCCCTCTTCCATGCCTTCGCCCACATAGTGGTGCACAAAGGCACGCTTTGAGTACCTCGCAGCAACGCCCAAGAGGGTCTTTAAATCAGCCATCTCCAGAGCAGGCTGGGTGGATCCTGTGGTTGGCACAAACTGGGACGTTGGTGATGTGATCTGTGGTGATTTGCGGCATGGTCCGCCATGTACTTTTACGCGCACCTTGATGGCATCTACGAATCCTATTCATGCACAATTTATTTATATATATATATATAGCCAGGTGTCTAACTATTTCCGAAACTCCAATTAAAGTGTCTCATCCTAACTTTATTGAATGATAAATGATACTGCCCATCTGGCAGTGGCCTGTGAGCTTTTCCTGGCAGTCACCTTGAGAGATCTGCAGAAGTCTGTATAGTGAGCTAACAAGGAGGCTAAGGCAGCGGTTTCTGTCTTTGCCAATTTGCCAATGTGCCACTAAATCTACATTCTTCATCAAGCAGCTCGCCGAAAGTACCCCTCGATGCACAACACAAAAACATGTAGGCGAAGATTGGCATGATTGGATCCCTCGATTCCTGAAAACAGGTACACTAGCCGCTGTAGCCAAGGCACATCAAGTCAAACTTGTGGTCGATGCGGGAGAAGACTTCCGCAATGGCCTCAGAACATGGTTCACTCTGCCCAACATCCGATGAATCGGCCTGCGAATCCATACCCACCAGTCACCAGACCCCCTTATAAACCCGGCAGAAAACAGGGTTGTTGACGTAGACTTTCGACTTTCTGTTTATTTCTCATGTCTCCCCTCTCTCCCCCTCTCTCCCCCTCTCTCCCCCTCTCTCCCCCTCTCTCTTTCTCTCTCTTTCTCTCTTTCTCTCTCTCTCTCTCTCTTGTCTTCCATATTTCGTCCTTCACACTC